TATACAAAATTAATTTCCCTATACTGATGGTATTTATTTCCGTGTTACTTATCACGAAATTAGTTCTACGCAAATAAAAATTTAATACAGGTCCCTTATTTCTATTTCTCTGACTACCCTTAAAAAATCTGATAACATTAGATATTTCAATATTTAGATAAGAAACAATGTGGAACGAATCCGATAATTTTGTATCTACTACTTTTCATTTAGGCGGAATACATACAAAATAAAATCGATAAAAAATATGTACATATTATATTTTTATATTTGATGTAATTTATTTAAAACATTAAAGTTGGCTACCTACTACTTTTCTACAGGAACAACATTGTAATTCTGATATAGCTGAATCTGGCAATATTTATGGTTTTCTAGCAATAGTAAAGGTTATGTATTAAACTCTCTTATTTACTTACCTCAACTTCTTCTTTATTATTAAAATTTGTACGGATTTCGCTAGAGTTGACAATTTTATATTTATAATTATTTGGCCACTCCATACTTAATTAAAAAAAAAACATTTAAAGAAATTTACAACGAAATATACATACGCCAATTCAAAACTTCTCCAGACTAGTATCGAGCGTACGGTAGCTTGACAATTGATCGGGATATCGGATGCTCGTTTTAAGACAGACCTCGGTTAATACGACGGTAGCCAATTGCGATATACTGGACGCTCGATACAAAAATGCGGCCCGGGCCTAGTTGGCCTAGACCTAAGTCCGGCACTGTTAAAGTGTAGTTTGATCAAAATAAATAGTATTTTTTGATTTAAAGTTAATAGAACGTTGACATTCTATGAGATGGTAAATTTTAACTATTGGTATTTCTCAATATTGCTATATCAATACATTTTGTCGAGCATTTTGTTATATTGCAATGGATTTTTTTTAAGTTCCTTAAAATTATTGAAGAATATATACCTAAATGTAATAAAGAATTTAAGCTGAAACAAAACACCGAAAAATGTTATATAAATAAAATATTTTTAACTAGTAATTGCCTCCTTTGTACAGGGTGGGTGAAATTCGACGCTTTTAAATGGAAACACCCTTTTCTATAGGAGATAGACGAAAACTAATATCGGTGTCTGGAGCTTAATTTTCATCAAAAATATGATGGTGAAAACCGCACATCAATATCTGTTACCGTTTCGGAGTTACGGGGTGTTTTTCAAAAATGTGCATTTTTAACAAATCGCTGTAACTTTTTTGCTATGGAAAATTTTGTATTTCTATGAAAACATTTCCAAAGCACCTTTTTACGTAGAATTTAATGGTTGTTTTTTTTTAAATTAATAATTTAAGAGTTATCAACAGCAAAATTGATTTTTTATTTGGGACACCCTCTATATTTTCAATTAGCTGAAAAGAATTTAAAATTACCTTTCCAAAAATATAGCACACTTAATATTTTGTTATAATCCCCTTCGAAATACAGAATTTTTAAAAGTTCGCCACTTTTAACTAGTAGGCTTTGGACCCCTTATTGATAATATGCCCTTATTGGAACTCGAAAACACATTTTTTCAGCAAGACGACGCACCGCCTCTGAACTCTGAAGTTATCAGCAAATTTTTGCAGCTAATTTCAAGAATAATAATTGGATAGCTAACCAAGATCCCAGCCGTTGGCAGCCTAACCTAACCTGACTTAGTGCCCATGGATCTAATCCTATGGATATATTTGCGGAAGAATAAAGGTTCCTTATTCTTCTGTATAATATAGACAAGAATTAAAAATATTTAGCAGTTATGAGAGGGTATCTTTCACCCCCACTGAGTTAATGAATTTCGCGAGAAACGAAACCAAACCAAACCAAACCAAAAACTGCCCCGTCTGTTCATAACAGAAGACGGTCGATATGTCGAACACATGTAGCAAAATCTCATGCCTTGGTTTGCTATTTATTTTTATTGTTATTAGATATAGTGTAAATGTGTTGATGTTGGTTAAATACATTTTAAATTGTTATAAAATTCTGCATCTCTCATAGCAAATATTATTTTCGTTTTAACTGATGCTCACGCTCACAGCTAGAATTTTTTTGCATTACAGCCGGTGCCGTTCAAAGTCTACTTATTTAAAGAGGGCGAATTTTTATATACTCTATATCTCGAAGAGGAATCGAGCAAAATATCAAGTGTGTTATATTTTTGGAAAGGTAATTTTAAATTCTTTTCAATAAATTACAAATATACAGGGTGTCCCATATAAAAAATCAAATTTTCTGTTGATAATTCTTAAATTATTAATTTTAAAAAAATTATACTTAAACCATTAAATTCTACGTAAAAAGGTGCTTTGGAAATGTTTTCATAAAAATACAAAATTTTCCATAGCAAAAAAGTTACAGCGATTTGTTAAAATGCATATTTTTTAAAAACACCCCGGTACTCCGAGACGGTAACAGATATCGGTATGCGGTTTTCACCATAATGTATTTGAAAAAAATTGAGCTCCAGACACCGATATTAGTTTTTGTCTATCTCCTATAGAATGTTTCCATTTAAGGGTGTTTCCATTTAAGGGTGTTTCCATTTAAAAGCGTCGAATTTGACCCACCCTGTACAGTTATTCGTTTTGCATCCTATGTAATTAAGTGGGCACCTACCCCAACGTCCTTCAGGCAGAAAGTTAGGCTATCGAAAGATGCGTACAATTTAACTTAGATAGGAACTATCGAAAACAGGAAATAGCCATCATATCCGGTAATCAAGCAGCACTAAACGCGATCAACTCAGTAACCATCAATTCGAAGTTGGTCAAAGAACGCCTAGAGAAGCTCAACAAATTAGGCAAAGAAAATAAAATCCTTCTACTCTGGGAGCCTGCTCACCAAGGGATAGAGAGCAATGAAAAAGCAAATAATCTAGCTAGAAAGGAGCGAACACTCCACTCACCGGACCAGAACCGTTCTGTCGTCCAAGAGGAAACCAACTGAAAGCGGCACTGAAGAATCTGGAAAACTCTATCCGCAACCTGGAATTGTCCTCCAACGGTCTAAGACACTCTAAAAAGTTAAGTAAAAACAATCTTCGGATTGTCATGGGGTTTCTAACAGAACACTGTCTCCTCAACGAACACCTCAGTAGGCTAAAGCTGAGAAATGACGGCGAATGCAGATTCTGTGGAAAAAATGGGGAAACATCAGAACACCTTACCAACTGAGTGCGCCGAGACCACGACCGTTCGTGCCATGAACTTTGGTACAGCTGATGTCGAGGATGGAGAGCTGGCCTCTGTGGAGCTGTTTCAGATACTGGCTTTTGTGAAAGCCCTGAGACTGTATGATGAGTAATAATTCGTTATAACTCAAGAAAGGAGAACACACAATAGATCTGTAAGGTCGCGGTGATTAACTCCCCTCCTAAAAATTCTACATTATACATCCTATTATTATATAAAAAATGAATGAACTTAAAAGTTCAATATTATACAACTCGAAAAAAATGCGCAATCACCTGCCATTTGAAATCAAATCCATAACATCATTTTCTTCATTTCGCAAAGCATTGAACTCTTATTTACTAGACAAGGCTTTCTACGCCGTGAATGAATTATATTTTGATAATCGAATTTGATCTTGTAAACACTGGTCTAATGTTTGCTATTGCTATATTTACCAATGACACCCAAATAAATTTATTTAGAGGTCATTGATATTTTTACTATAAACTAACTAAATATTTTTGAATATTATTTTTACTTTTTTTTTATTCTTTGACATTCTAAAAATTTATATAAATGTTTATTTTAAACAATAAGACTGACAATCTTATTTGTATAATGTTTTTGTTGTATAATGTTATCTTTTGTTTGTTTGTTTGTGTACCTTGTTTGTTTACTTTGTTTGTTTATTTTACCTTTGTCTACAAATTCTAAAAAATTTTGAGAATAAAGGCTGTAGCATTTTATTTTAAATATACATAATTTATATAAATGTACAGAATTATTTTATTTAAATAAATCAAGTTTAAGTCCTCGCACCGAGATGGCATTCTAAGTACTGCTATTATCTTTTATTTTTTCTTCAAGTTTATTTCTGGCGAAATATTTCAGTCCGGTCGAAGTTTGTTGGTCACTTTATATCTGACGGTGTATAGTCACTCTTCGTGCCTACCTTCCCTCGCCATATTGGTGGTAAAGGCTAAAACCGATAGAGCTATCGGCGTTTGTTGGCATTTTGCCAATTTGTTTGGGAAAACCCTCTGAGCAGAGGTGTTTTTATCAGAATCCAGTTCCAGTAGCAGTGCACCACAACCAACTTGTGACCAGAACGGATAAAAAAAGGCCAGATCATTTCATTTTATATCTATTTAATTTAAGTTCGTTTGAATGCATTAAGCCCTTCAGGCATATTATATATTTGATTGCTTTAGAGTCACTTTGAAATATTTTATTCATGTTATGCATATTTCTGATATCTACATAGTACGGTTTTTTTAATATAAAGAGTCCCTACATTTTGGTACCAAGATCGCCAGACTTTTTGCGGAATAATTAATAAAATATTAATATTCAGAAGCGTGCAGATTTAACATAACTACCATTTTGAGTGATCTATTTTGATACATACAATTTACCAACAAATATTTTCAAACATCAAATTTTTCATAGTCTTATTTTATTCTACTTAACATTTAATTATTAATTATACTTAGTTATTAGTTTATCTCAGCGTTTCATTTGTGTAATTCCTAAAATAAGTAATGCCTATATTCTAAGTTGATTTCTCAGTTCTCAACTTAGAAGTTTTCGAAAGTAAATGGAAAACTGAGTGGCGCCCAGTATATTATAAAGACGTAAGTATTACAATTTAATTTTCACTAGCTTACGACCCATTGCTCACCGGCGAACAGCTCCGTCGCATAGTATTAGTTGTTTTAATAATTTTTCCAAAAGAAAATTCTTATAAAAAAACATTCCATCATTTTTTTTATAACTTCTAATGCTACAAGGCATTTATTTATTTATTTATTTATAATAATTTACCTTTGCAATCCTTAAAATTTTTAGCTCGCATCTTTGATGTAGAATAATTAACTGGACAAGATGTACAATTGGTTTGACCTAACTTATCATTATAATAGCCAAAATCACAGCTTTGACAAATATTAGAAGTGCCATTATGAAATGCTCCTCTTGGACACTGAACTGAAAACCAATAATTACCTTAACAAAGTAAAATTGATAGAAAATTGCAAAATTATCCACGTAATGTTGGCAACAACAAAACACGTTTTAAGTTATTTTGAATATACTTCTAAAATGTTTGGTCCATTAAAACGACATTAATAGAGGGTGGCGCCTCTCATACGCCGCGGAGCCTCCAAAGAGAAAGACAGTTTGTATTGAAATGAAATTTTGTGAGCATATGTAGGTTAATTCAGAGCACTTTTTAAAAATATAGAGAGTTCTACAGGGTGTCCCCAAAAAAAATACATATCAAAGTTGTGTTTTTTTGGATTCTCGGATTCTGGGAGAAAAATAAACGTGAGTTTTATAAGAGAGAGACATTTTCTAGCAATAAAGAATAAAGAACAATTTTTAAATTACAATAAAAGCTACCTAAATTGGAATTTACCCGGTATAGCCTAATACGTAATTAAATTTACTATTGTACTTTAAATCAAATTAAAACTTGATCCAAAAAGTTATACAGGGAGAGACAAAATTAATATTGAACATAGGCCACCTTCAAAAGCATGTTATTCTTTTATTTTAAATGGAACACCCAGTATATTATTCCGATATTCAATGGAGAATGTATGTTAGCCCGTATGTAAAATGTAAATCAATGTATTTTTAAGTTTGGTTTATTCCATGAATTCATGTCCGTTGGAATAGAAGTGGCAACGGCGCTTCTGTACCTAAACTCCGTCCGAGGGTGCGGGACGGGTAAAAATTAGTTTTCACTTTGCTTTTGTTCCTTGGTGCAACTACCACGTTGTTATTTGCTGTTCACTTAAATTTAGTATTATTCTTTAAATTAATATAGTTGTTATATTATACAAGTGCAGTTCATTTATTTATACAGTCCACATATATCAAGGCAACAATGCATGTCTATTCAAAATACTATTAAGGCTGCCTATCCCTCAAACAAAGGTTTTCCTAGATATTTTCTTGATCCGATTAGATCTTTATTATTTGATAAAATCTAGGTGGCTGCGATATGTCTGACGTTACTTCAACATAGCCGTCTAAGAGTGACCTCCCGCAAAATCATAAAAATTAAAATATCTAGAAAAATCTTTGTCTGAGGGGTAGGCAACTTTAATAATATTTTGAAAAGATATAAATTCCCCATTGAACACCGGAAAAATATACTGGGTGTTTCATTTAAAATAAGGGAGTAACTTGCTTTTAAAAGTGACTAATGTTCCATATTAATTTTGTCTCACCCTGTATAACTTTTCGGGTCAAATTTCAATTTGGTTTAACATACAATGGTTACTGTAATTAAATATCAGGCTATACAAGATCAACTAAAATTTAGGTAGCTATTTAGCGGAGTGCTGTAAGCCCTTATGGGATACAAACCTCGGAATTCATTTACTGTGAACGAATTTTTATAAAACTTTTTTCATTGTATTGTTAATAAGATATATTACAAAGTTTACCCATTTAAATTCGTTGCTTTCACTTTAGTATTTAAATAAACACACATATACAAATGCATACATACAAGATGGCTTCGTATTCCGGAAAAGCTCTGTATCAGGATTCCTATTTGAGATTTTCACTCCAAACCTTTTACAAAATACACACACCGGAAAAATCTAGGGATATCATTTTATTAAAGTTAAAAATAAGTGTTTTGAATAAACAACCGCATATTTATAGGCCGATTCTTTCTACTTCGATTGAAACGAAGTAGTCACATTAGTTATTTCTAAATTTGGGATATTTGCAGAAGTGTTTGTGCATATTTTGTCAAATGTATAAAAAGTACCTATCATCAATTGTTCGAATTTAACCTGTACTGGCTATTTTTTATGATAACTGGCCAGAATTCATTCAAATAACTCTGTTTAGTATTAAACGACATTATGGAGCGTAGACATCTTAACAGAGACGAAATGCTAAGGGCCATGGGTATACTCGAAGCTGGAATGCGCCAAATCGACGTAGCTAGAGCATTAAATACAACGCAAAGTGTAATATCGCGATTAAGTGCACGCTACCGTGAAAGTGGTAATGTTGCTGAAAGGCACACAGGGCGACATCGCATTACTACCCCTCAGCAAGATCATTTTTTACAATTAAATGCTCGACGCCGACCGACTCTTACAGCACCAGAGCTTAGTTTAATTCTCCAGGAAACACATAATGTAACCGTTAGTCCTGACACTATTCGCAATAGATTAAGAGAGGTTAACTTTAGAAGCAGACGCCCCTGGAGAGCTCAACCCTTAACGAGAGGAAATCGAGAGGTACGATATTTGTGGGCTCAAGATCATGTTCAGTGGTCGAATGAACAATGGGCCAATGTTCTCTTCACGGATGTGTCACGCTTTGGAATTCATCAGGATTCGAGAAAGCTTAGGGTATGGAGAGAACCGGAAATCTTCTTCGGTTGGATCATGTTCAGGAAGTGCATCCTTATCAAGGTGGAACGGTTATGGACTGGGGAGGAGTCCAGTTAGGCCGAAAAACCGATCTCGTTTTTCTTGAAAGGTTTCTAACAGGAATCACAAATCGTGATTTAATTCTTGAGCCTGTCGTGTTACCATATGCCAATGATTTTGGGAGAAACTTCATTCACATGCATGACAATGCACGGCCTCATACAGCCAGAGTGGTAAGTGAGTTTATCAATGCTCATCAATTAAACATCTTACCCTGGCCGGCACAATCTCCTAACCTCAACCCCATCGAGCACGTATGGGACGCGGTCCAAAGAAGAATTTTGAGAATGAGTATGCCTCGTGAAACTTGTAGGGATCTGGTTCGGGCCGCGAATGCAGCGTGGCAGGCTGTACCTCAAGAAGAGATCGACAACCTGATCGGGAGCATGGAGAGACGATGTAATGAACAGTAGAGGAAGCTATACCCTTTATTAGGTAAAAATGGTTTTATCTTTTTTTTAATTCACAGTTTAGAATTTTAAAAAATGTGTGTATTTTTTTGAGGTCAATAAAAATCAAGGTAAATTTGAAAAATTCGGCAAATTTCGCATTTTTATTTCCAATACGTCCTGTAAACTATTTGTTTATTTTAATTTTATTATATCAGAAATGCAAATAATAAAATTACTGACGATGGCTGGATAAAATTGTAATATCCCTAGACTTTTCCGGTGTGTGTATATGTTTAATGGTTTGGTTTGGTTAACTTAACGTTAACTTAACGTTACCTTTCAAAAATATTTTTATAGATATACAGGATGAGTCAAATATATATCATTTATTTATTCGAGTTCAGTGAATTTGCTATAAAATTCCGGTTCCAAAAATACCTTAATACTATAGAGTATACTAAATGGTCTTTGAATTATGACCACGCCCATGAGGACGTCAATCTAGACCCCTCTAGGAACCTTCGCATGAGAACTTCTAATCGAGACGATCGACTTATTGTAAGTTTATCGCTCAGAAACCGCCTTTTGCCAGCTTTTCAAATTGATAATGAATTGCACTTAAGGACCGTAAATATTAACTAATTATATCCACGTAGCTGGGTACGTCACCCGCCTTTGACGTCACTGCTACCTCAGCAGTAGAAGCCTATAAATATAAGTTACATTTATATTTTCTCATCTTTTTGTTAGTACTGTTCAACCAAACATATTAATAAACTGATCAAGTCTCTGTGTTGTTTTTTAAAAAGTAATTGTCCCGGTCACGAAAGAAAACTGGCGCAGTCGGTAGGATTTGCCAAGCCATCTAACAAAAATCGTAGTTGGTGCCCGTAACGCGGATTAAATTGGTAAAAACCCAAAACGGACGGATCGAGACAGTGAAAAGCAAGAAACAGCCCAAAGACACCGTTGGAACAGAGGACAAGCATCGCCGAAAGTCCAACACCTGGCAGAGGACAAGCATCGCCGAAACCAGCTTAGAATAAGGACCTGGTCGAGGACAAACATAGCCAACACCAGTTAGGTTAAGAAGAAACGAAAAACGAAGCAACGAAAAACGAAAAACCACCCGAAAAACCGAAATCATCACCCGAAAAACGAAATCATCACCCGAAAAACGAAATCATCAACGAAAATCATCCCCGAAAACATCGCACTCAATGAACATCGTAGCTAGACTCACCCTGTACATCTCTCTACTGTAAGTCGTATTTTTATATTCTGCTTATTAATATCGTATTTTGCATTTACTTTTATTTTTATTTTTAAAACTATTTTCGTATTTTGCTTTTCTCATATATATCCATTTTCCATTTTATTTTTAATTTTTATTCGTAAAAAACGATTTGATTAAGTTTATTTTATGTCCGATTCAGATAGTGAAATCGAGGAAATAACTAATAAATTTAGGCTTCAAAATTTAAGTTCTAGACATTTTGAAAAAGATAGTTTTGAACAAAGTCTCAGATATAGAACTATTTCTGATTCAATTATTAACTCTGAACTAGAAAATATATTAGATCAAGTAATGGCTACTTCAAATCAATCTCAAAATCAATGTCAAAATCCCTCTCAAATAAATTATTCATTTTTAAGATTATATATTGATACAATTCCAGTGTATGATGGCAATCCACATACTTTAAATATTTTTATTGATACGTGTCAAAGCTTAATAACAAACTTTTATAGAGAAGGAAACGATGGACATAACAATTTTATAATGCGTGCAATAATCGGAAGATTATCAGGCAGAGCATTGAGTTTAATTGGTTCACGTATTCATGAATTAAATTCATGGGATCAAATTAAAAACTTATTAAATCTTAGCTTTGGTGACCAACGAAATCTAGATTGTCTTGTTCAAGATTTGATTATCTTAAAACCTAATCGTAACGAAACTCCATATAATTTTTGGAATGAGGTGTCAAGACGCACGTTCCTTAGTATTTTCAAAATTAAATATGTTAAGTCTAAACCCAGCTGAACACACTATAAAAATAGCAAATTATGAAGAACTAGCATTAAAAACTTTTATTAGAGGCTTAAGTGGTCAATTACAAAATAATAT